GTAAGGCGAGATTGCGGAGTCCGGTGGAGAAGGAAGACAGCGGCCATAGCCGCGGAGCATTAACACAGAGTACCAGAGGAGAGAGAAAGGGAGGATAGAGAAGGAGGGACTAAGGAGAGGGAAGAAGAAGTGTAGAAGGAGGAGATCGAAGAAGAAGACGGACATAGACGGGGGTGAATTAAAAAAAAATAAAATAATAATAATAATATAGCGAAAGTGAAGAAGAAAAAAAGTGAAAGAAGGGGAAGTAGACGGCGAGGGTGACGAAGGTGAAGGTGCCGGCAGCCATAGCCGAGGTGAGGGGTTGACCAGAGGTTTGACCAGGGTTGACCAGAGGGTTGACCAGGCGCTGACCAAGGGTGTTGACCAAGCGTTGACTCGGGGTTGTCCGTGTTGACTCAGCATTGACCAAGACGTTGACCGAAGCTGCTGACCAAGATTTTGACCAAGCTGGAGTTGGTGATATCTCGTTGACCCTTCAGCCTATCCCCTTACCCTGTGGATGTGCACTTACCCCGCGGTACTTGCTGAGTCTGTCTGTCTCTCCTTTCTGCATCGAGTCTCTTCTGTCCTAGGTGTTAGGACTCTGTGGATGAAGGATAGGGCCTTGCTGCCAAACCTGCACGGGCTTAGTAGGACCAAAGCTTTACTCTGGCATCTGGAGACCTGGGCATGAGCGGCGAGCGCTCGTTAAACAACTCGTCTAGCCCAATGACCGGTACTGACCGACAGGTCTACTGAGTTCAGTGTGAAGGGTCCGAACTCCGGGCTGTAGGCTGAAACGAGGGCCATCTTTAAGTGTTGAGGCCTGGTTGAACCACTCCCCTACCGGACCTACTACAGCTAATGATCTGTGTCTGGCGACTCGACTGTCCCGAGGGATACGAACCCCTCCAAGGACCGGTACAGACCGGCGGGCTGCTCGGTGTGGCACAGTAGGCTGGAACGGCTGAGTTGTGGGCTGAAATCGCCAGAGGAACCAAGCTGATCACGTCGTCCTGTCTGCGACGTTAAAAAATTCTTGCGGAGTTTGGGGGATCTCCTTAAATGCCTCCTGATCAGCTTTGGGTTCAGTAGTGACAACCTTAGAGTAGTTGTGAGTAGTGGATCTTAGAGAGTTAGTCAGTAGGTCAGTGTGTCCGGGTAGGTCTAAGTGGTGAGGAGTGGGATGTTGTCGTGCACCTGACGCCACAATGGACGACTATCCGATGTATGGGTTGCTGGTTGGGTTCTCTCTCTGGGGGACCCTCTGGCGCCTCCTCTTTCCTCTGGGTTTCTGGCCCACTTTCACGTGTAGAGTAGGGCCCACTCGTGGTGGTACTTCCACCAGCCCCTACACGAAGGAGGAGGAGGAGTAGATGGCCGCCATTTTGCAAGAGAGGAAGGAGAAGGAGGCCAAGAAGAAGGCCTTGAAGGAGGAGCAGGCGGCCAAATTGAAGAAGATAGAAGAAGAGATGGCCAAAGAGAAGGAGAGGATAAAGAAGGAAGAGGAGGCGAAGTTGAAAGAGGTGGACGAGGAAGAAGAGGAAGCGCCGCCACTGCAAAGGAAGAGTGGGCAGAACAGTGGCAGCAAGGATGAAGAAATGGAGAAGCGGATTTCAGAATGGGTCGCCAACTTGTCCCTGGGTGAAGAGGAAGAGGTTGCTATGTATATCCCCAAGGATGAGCAAGAAGCCGCCATGAAAAAATAGGAAGCAGAGGAAGATGTTCTGACGCGGCGGACGATGGAGGATGAACAAAGGATGGCGTGGAAGCTTGCGATGATGAGGGAGAAGAAGAGAAGAGTGGAGGCGGCGAATGCAACAATACAGGAATTGGAGGAGGTGCGGAAATTGAGATTACAATTGACACCCCAGGTAGCTCTCGAGCGGAAGGTGGAGATCATTGCCCAGAGCGTCGAGCGTTTAGCCAAAGTGCAAGAAAAGCACTATGAGTTTAGTCGCAGCCAGGAGATATCTGTGCGTTCGATGCGAACGGGATTACGGGACTTTGCTCGTGAGTTAGTGGGCGCTGTGGGGACTGAGGTGAGTCACCGCCTCGAAAAGACTGTGCGTTTTTGTGTCGGCGCCATTGAGGGCGTCAAGGTGGCAGCTCCCAAGGAGGAGGAAACTCGTCCTCGCAGGGAGCCAGTCAAAGTCAAATTCCCTGATTCCTACAATGGAAAAAGGGAAGAGAACTTTGACAATTGGGAGGCCAATGTCAGGACCTATGTGCATCTGCAACAGGTCTCCCCGGATCAGCAGGTCCTAATTGCGATCCACACGCTTAAGGATGAGGCCGCTAGTTTTGCAAGGTCCCTTGTTCGCGCTGCTAACTGCAGTGATGATCCAGTTGCATACTCCATATTCACCCCCCTCGTTGAGTTCCTAAAATTGCTGCGCGAGCGATTTGCTGATGTCGCTCGTAGTGTTAAAGCGTCAGATAGGCTGCAGACGATCCACGCCCGCAAGTGGAAGAGTGCCAAGGCACTCAAGAGTACAATGGATGAGTTAGTGGCTGTCCCTGACCATGGGGTTACGGACACCCAGTTGGTCGGCCTCTTCTATCGGGCCATACCCGAAGCCCTTCGAGGGCATTTCTTCGCAAAGAGCGAAGACCCTGCCACTACGTACGATTCTCTTAGTCGCGAAGTGGTGGCTTTTGAAGCCAAGTCTGCGTCTGTGTCCACCTTCTGGCACAAAGACTTGGATAAGGGAAAGCAATGGAAGGGCCGCACTATTTCGGGGCAAGTGAAAACTAAGGATAGCCTTGTCCTGACCTTAGATGAGGGTAGTGTGGACGAGATCCCCTACGATCAGATTGAGTGGGGGTTAGAGGAGGAGGACAGTGGTGTGGGCCAGGGGAAGACTTACGCTGCTGTCGCGGCTGGAGGGAGGCCGCAAGGAGGACGAGGCCAGGGCCAAGTGGGCCGGGCCTTAGGGAGCCGGTCTCAGGGCGATCAGGGGGTTGGCGGCAGAGGAGGAAACCGCCAAGTGGGAGGCAGGGGTCAAGGTCCCCCGCAAAACCGGCCTAGGAATAGGTCTCCCTATAGGGTAGGAGGATGGCACCCATGGCTACCGCAGGGTAAGCCTTGGGAAACTTTGGGTCTGGACCAGACTTTATGACAACAACGATTGGACCGGGGCCAGTGCATTTTCTGCGGTGACCCGGGCCATATCATCAAATACTGTCCTAAGTATCGCGAGACCCGAATGGCTGCCCAAGGGCCAAAAGGCAGCCGCCGGTAGGGGTAGCAACTGCCCCTACCATTAGGCCATGTGGGGAACATAGCGCTAGCCGGCAGGAGACTCCCACACCACATGTGCCTATGACAGAGGTTGCAGGCCGGTGTCTAGATAGCTGTCCCGAAACTGCTTGTGTTAGAGTTTCGACACCTCCCTCACAGGTGTGGCCGAAGAGTTGAAGGAGAGGAGGCCCGCCTGGGCCAAGATGAAGAAGGAGAATAAAGGGCAGCTAATCTTATTAGATGTAGAGATTTTTAAAGGTAGAGTAGGGGCCCTAGTAGACTCAGGGGCTACCCGCAGCTATATTAGTAAGAAAGTGCTGCAGAAGTTGAAGCTGGGACTTAAAGTCCAAAAGTTAGCAGACCCTATAGTTAGTATCCTCGCAGACAATCGTACAATGGTTGTAGAGGAGTATGTAGAGGGAGTCCAGACGTATTTTCGCCTAGAGAAGGATGGGAAAGTGGAGAAGGTCCTCCACTCCCTGACTCTCCTCGTAGAAGACACCCTCCCATTTGATATTGTTCTGGGAATGGATTGGGGAGAGGCTGCCGGGGCCACGCTCCATTTGAAAGAGCATGAGTGTAGGCTCCCTAGTTCGTCAGCCGAGGCTAAGACTGCCCACCTGTTCCATGTGTCAGGAGTAGAGAATTCCTTGGCGCATTGCTACCTTAGTGCCCCCGCGTTCGCCAGATTAGTAAAGAAGGAGAAACTGGAGGAACAGGTCTTTGTCGCCTATGTTAGGCCGGTAACTGAGCCTACGGAAGAAAGGCCGATGGACCCTGCGATTGCCAAGCTGCTGGAAGAGTTTAAGGATTTGACTGAGCCGCCGTCAGGCACGGTGCCTCAGCCCATCCAGCACCGTATTGAGATCGAGCCTGGCACTAGAACTCCTAAGGGCGCTATGTATAGGATGTCCCCACGGGAGTTAGAGGAGCTTCGCAAGCAGTTAGACGAGCTCCTCGAGAAGGGTTGGATTAGGCCTAGTTCGTCTCCGTTTGGAGCGCCTGTTCTCTTTGTCCCTAAGAAAGAGGGAGAGTTGAGGATGTGCATAGACTATAGGGGTCTGAATGCTATTATAGTAAAGAATGCTGAGCCACTGCCTAGGATAGACGATCTCTTAGATCGAGTGCAGGGGGCGAAGTATTTTTCTAAGATAGATTTGAAGTCCGGATATCATCAAATAGAGGTGCATCCTGATGATCAGTATAAGACATCCTTCCGGACTAGATATGGGCACTACGAGTTCATAGTGATGCCCTTTGGACTAACCAACGGGCCAGCCACGTTCCAGCGCTGTATGAACGATTTGTTTAGGCCGTGGTTAGACAGATTTGTTGTAGTTTATCTAGATGACATTCTAGTGTTTAACAGGACCCTCGAAGAGCATCAGGGTCATCTCAGGCAGGTCTTGGAGAAGCTGAGGGAAGCTAACTTCAAGATCAATGCAAAGAAGTGCGATTGGGCGAAAACCCAAGTTTTGTACTTAGGCCACGTCTTAGACGGAGACGGCGTTAAGCGAGAAGATAGCAAGATCGCAGCGATTAGAGATTGGCCCACGCCATGCACGCTGACAGAGTTGCGCTCGTTCCTGGGCTTAGCTAATTACTATAGGAAGTTCGTGAGGAACTTCTCCACCATCGCTGCGCCCCTTCGCGGACTGTTGAGAAAGGAGACCATCTGGAAGTGGGACAAGGACTGTACGTCTGCCATGAAGAAATTGAAGCAGGCCTTGATAGAGTATCCAATCCTTAAAGTCGCCGATCCGTCCTTGCCTTTTGTCGTTACGACCGATGCTAGTCAATACGACATAGGTGCAGTGTTATAGCAAGACGATGGCAATGGGTATAGACCCGTAGAGTTCATGTCCGCCAGAATGCCTTCAGAGAAGGTCGCGACATCTACCTATAAGAGGGAACTCTACGCTCTCAGGCAAGCCTTAGACCACTGGAAGCACTGCTTGCTTGGGAGACACTTCAAAGTCTATTCTGACCATGAGACGTTACGATGGTTAAAGACGCAGGCCAAGATGACACCTAAGCTTACTAGGTGGGCCGCAGAGATAGATCAGTACGACTTCGAGCTCAAGCCTGTCAAAGGAAAGTACAACGTAGTTGCGGACGCTCTGAGTAGGAGGGCAGATTACTTTGGGGCGATAGCGCATTACCTTGATATAGGGAAGGACCTGCAGCAGAAGGTTAGAGAGGCCTACGCGCAGGACCCTATTTATAGTGACCTCCTTAAGAAAGTCAAAGAGACCCCAAAGACTGAGCCGAACTACCGCACTACTGAAGGGTTGCTATTTGAGAAGACCAATGTCTTTGACCGATTGTGCATTCCCAACAGCGAAGAGATCCGTAGTCTGGTCTTGGGAGAGTGCCATGACACAGAGGGTCATTTTGGTTGGCAAAAGACTTTAGCCAATTTAATGCGCGCGTATACCTGGCCAGGGATGAAGAATGACTGCGTAGAGTATGTTCGCAGTTGTAAGGTTTGCCAGCGTAACAAGAGTTCTACGCGCGCCCCGCTAGGTCTTCTCAGACCCTTGCCCATTCCGGACCAGCCGGGGGACTCAATGTCCATCGACTTCATGGACACTCAAGTCAAGAGCAGGCATGGCAAGAGCCAAGTCATGGTCATAGTTGACCGATTTAGTAAATACGCAGTTTTTGTTCCTTTGCCTTCAGAGGCACGTACTGATTTAGTCATACAGAGATTCTTTGACTGTTGGGTAAGCGAGAATGGAATCCCACTGTCTATAGTTAGCGGTAGAGATAGTCGCTTTGCTAGTCAGAACTGGCAAGAACTCATTGGAGTATACGGATCTAAGTTGTTGATGTCGTCCGGCCGTCATCCAGAGACTAACGGTCAGACAGAACAAATGAACAAGATCCTACAGCAAGTTCTGCACATGTACATTAGGCCAGATCAGATTAACTGGGATGAGATGCTGCCTAAAGTAGCTAGTGCGTACAACAACAGCGTGCATCTAGCCACCTGCCGCACTCCCAACGAACTGCACAAGTCCTTTAGACCGCGCAGATCGTTTGAGGGACTCAACCGGGATCAGATTCACAGATTGCCGCCCGGGACCAGGGAGTTTGCTATACAGCACGAGAAAGAACTAGCTACTGTCGTAGAGAACCTCAGGAAAGCCCAGCATAGGATGATAGAGCAGGCGAACAAACATCGTCGCCCTTCACAGTTTCAAGTAGGCGACTTAGTCTGGGTCAGTTCTAGAGAGTTTGCGCCTGAGGAGAACATCTCGCAAAAGTTACTGCCCACATATAGAGGACCGTGGCCTGTTCTGGAAGTCAAGGGCGGCGAAGATGGACCGTCCTATACGATAGAACTCCCAGCACACCTCCAWACKTACCCAGTTTTCCATGCATCGAAGTTGTTACCTTGTCAAACAAGTGATCAGTTTCCATCCCGTAGATCTATGATTCCGCCCGATATGGATGGAAGGTATGACATYGATGGCATAGTTGCTGAAGATGTRTTCAGAACTGGAGGTAGGGGTCGTCCACAGAAACAGTACAAGGTTCATTTTAGTTATCAGGAACCGGAAGACGACCGCTGGTTTACAAGGTCTGAACTTCTAGAGACAGCTCCCGATATAGTCCGGGCCTACGAGAGACGGCAGAAGGGTAAAGGTCCTGCCTTGGACTGAAATTTTCTCGGAGGACCTCGAATTTAGGCCGGCGGGAGTGAAACGGTATTCACGAGTTGCAGTAGCGAATGCAGATCCCAGGGCTCGATCCCTAGTTCCCCGTCTTACCCGTGTACAGTATCAGTGTCAACCTGTAGACTTTAACCCGCGACCTGTAGGAACGCCAGTGGTAGGTAGATTGTCGTAGGTCCCAGGGTAGAAGGGAATCGAACTGTAGACCTGTAGAGTAGGAGTCTAGATAGTTCCGAAGTCGTAGTTGTAGGATGCCTGAAGGGTCAAGGTCGTAGCTGCTACTTACCTGAAAGGGCAAAGTCGTAGCTGCTACAGTACCGAAAGGCCAAGTTAGAGACTTCTAGAAGTGGCCTTTCGGAGTTAGCCTGCGTTCAACAGAGGCAAGTGGTCAAGTGGTGGTAGGCCACCTCGCTGAGTCAACAGTCCCAGCTAGTCAGTCCGGTCCTGTCCAACAAGTACCGTCTGGGACTGTGTGCACCAAGGGCCAAGGGACACATGGCAGACCAACGCAGCGCAGAAGTATAAATCAAGAGGCTGCGTCCAGCCATTCATTCATTCCTGCGGATGCCATGCGGAAGCGCTGCCTCAGCAGCTTGTGCGAGGAGGTCTGCAGTGTGCCGGAAGACGAAG